GAGGCTCGGAGCGGGGACGGGGAGTGGGCTGGAGGCTCGGAGCGGGGCTGGGGACCGGTGCGGGCGTTCAGTGGCCTGTGAGCCTGAGCAGAACGTGTGGAAGCCCCCTGCGCTGATGAACTGAACGACTGTAATGCTTATCTTTTTAACTTCATTCTCTTTTTTCGAACTTATACTGTGAACAACTATATGTAATGTAATTTTCTTTCCGTTTTCCCTTTTCCCTTTTTGTTTTGTATCTAAGATCTGTACCTGGGTATTTTGTACCTAACATTGCGCCATATGGGACAACATTTGTAAACTTTTCACTGCACTTCTGTATGTCCGTACTTGAGTACAAGTGACAATAAAGGATTTTCTAACACTATAGCAATGGTGTTATCAAAGTGTTTCCCATACGCTGCAATCCATAGTTCATTTTCTGAGATCAAAGTCTCAGATTTACTCTTGTCAATATTACTTGGCTAATGCATAACATGTACATATGATGTAGTTTGCACCAGTAATCTAATGGTTTGTATTAACCTATTTAAAACATTTTACTTAAATTTGTTCTCAGTGTGTGGTAACTCTGGTATTAGATGCCAATCGCAGTTGTCCTGTGAAGGTATTGGGACATTTCACAGTCAGCCACAATATGGGACTGAAATGAAATAAAATGGCAGAATAGGCATAGCATTGATAAGGCCATTTAGCCCATTTTGTCCAGGTTAGCTCTTCAAGAGCAACTGACCTAATCCCACAATCTCCTCCCCCCCCACCTTGTGATTATTTCTCTTCTTTCAATCGTGACTTTACTTCTCTTTTCTGTCCTTAAAATTTTGAAAATCTGCAGCAAACTGCCTCTTAATTTTCTCTTCTCTAAAGGCAGCAGCCTCAGCTTCTCCAATCCATCCACATTATTAATATCTTTAAGGAAGTGGGACTAAAGCAGTTTCACTTTTTACAGTAACCCAGAATCAGTTCATGGTCACCTCTGATTTGCAGTAAAGATTTACAAGATTAAGTTGTGAAAATTTCACCTTGAACCACGATGAGACTCTAATGCTAAGTTATGGGTTAAAACAGAAAGAAATGTCAGATTGATACAGGTAGCGAAGGCTAAAATAAATTATGAGATGTAGCAAGAATACATGGTCAAGTCCAGTCCACTAAAGGTTACCCAATGCACTTCCAAAGCAGAAATAATTCACTTCACAGTTTCCAGTTCAGTTTATTTGATATTCGATCTAAGGTCTAAGTCAAAATGCTCAGAAATATCCAAAATAACAGGCCCAAATCTGCCAATCTGCATCAAGATCCCTATACGTGACTAAGATTAAGTTAACTAATTCCCATGTCGCTTTCAAGGAGTTTCTGGCCGAACTTGCAGAGCAGGAACTTCTCAGCTGCAGCAATGCAGACCAGTGAAGAAGCCACACGGGCAGCAATGCTTTTTTTGTAGCTGCCAAATGCTGTGGCTTAAAGATCCACAAGCCGCTTTGAGAGCTATTGAGAGAAGCCACGTGGGTAATTTACACGAGAGGGTAATGTGCCAGTGGCAGAATTGGGTGTGGGGGAAGTAGGATGGCAGGTGTTGTAGATGAGACCAAACCTTCTCAAATAGCCTAGTCCCTAACTTTTTCTTATTTTAAAGGCAAGTGCCAGGCATTTTGTTCTGGATGCAATTCAATTGGTCAATCACCAGTCTTCAGCAAAACGCAATTTATTCATACAGTATAGTTAAAATAGAGTAAAAGAAAAGTTAATCCAAATTTTAACTTTCTTGGAAAACTTAATATATTACTTAACTGCTAAACAGTAACTGTTTCAATACAGTAACATCTCATAAACACACCCTTGGCAAAGGCAAGTTCAGTAAAATACATTGTCTCAGATGCAATTCCCCAATCCGGGAGGAAAAAATCATGAAAATCTCTGAGGGAGAGAGTAGCAGGGAGAGATGTACTGCAGCTTCCAAACTCAGCTTCAAGACCCAGCAAGTGAAAACTAAAATGAAAAATCCTGGTTCCGTGGGAGCTTGATCCCAACCATTCAGGATGCTTCTATTGTTCCAACTTTTAAAAAAATCCAAGGCCTCACAAGCTGTTTACTTTATTGGCTTTGAAACAGACTGCTCGACACCTCTGTCACAACCTCTCTTCGTTAAAGAAAAGGACAAAATATTCCTCTTAAACCCATAGTATAGTCACAGAAGTAAAGGGCCTGTGTTGGTGAGGGATTGAAGCCTTTGGATCTGTTGGTCCAGGAAGGGAGATGAGCTTGTTAGAACAAGAAGAATTGGGGCAGTGTGAGGGGATGTCATGGGGAGCAGAGATTCAGATCCATGCATGGTTGGGTTATAAGGTAGGGTTGGGGTGGGGGAAGGGAGGGTCACTAGTGGCTATTTTTATAGTAACTGCTCTAACATTTCCCAACTATTCAGGCAAGTCAGTAGGAGCTCTCTCAAGTTCTGACTCTCACTCCGACTTCAGTACTTTTCTGCCAGGTTCCAGATGTCAAATAATTGCCCTGTGGGAAGTTTAAAGTTTCCGGGCCATTCCGGTGTAGTCATCGGGAGATCTATAGCAAAGCTGCTTTTTTTTTTCCCAAAAGAACACTGCCACTGCTGCAAAATAAAAGACCCAACTTCTAAAATATCTATCAGCTCGTCATTCTCAAACTTTTGTTTAGTGAAGGCCCCCATTTCAAATGGGTCATAAGGTTGAAAATAAAACCTCATCACCTTACTATGAACCGCATCTGTGAACTCCTCACCTCAGGACACCCCTTATTCTTCCTGGAATGAGTTTGGGCTCAGGGTGTTTTGTTGGGAGTTTCAGTTTCTGCTTGGTGTTTCAATACACAGTTGCTGAGTATTTTAATTTTTTTTCACCCCACTGATTTTTTCTTTAAACTAGCCTGTGCTTCAATTTTTGTTGCCAAGGCTACAGGTCCGAGAACTCACCAATCCGGCAGCCGACTCCTCACTCATCCAGGTGACTAGATCAGGTATTATAGTGAATGTGGTTGACATAGACTTTGGTAAAGCTTTTGACAAGGACTCACATGGGAGACTGGTCAAGAAGTCCATGGGATTCAGGGCTATTTAACAAACTGGAGACAAAATTAGCCTAGTGACAAGAGGCAGAGGGTGATGATTAAACGAAAACAGAAACTGCTGCAGAGATAGTTAGTAAGTTTGCAAATGACAACAAAATTGGTGGTTTAGTGGACAGTGGAGAAGGTTATCTAAGATTACAAAGGGATCTGATCAATGGGCTGAGGAGTGGCAGATGGAGTTTAATTTAGATAAACGCGAGGTTTTGCATTTTGGTAAAACAAACAAGGGCAAGTTAATGGTAGGGTCCGGGCTAGTGTTGTTGAACAGAAACCTAGGGGTTCCGGTACATAATACTTTGAAAGTTGTGTCACAGGTAGACAGGGTGGTTAAGAAGGTGTTTGGCACACCTGCCTTCATAGCTCAGACTATTGGGTACAGGAATTGGGATGTCATGTTGAGGTTGTACAGAATGTTAGTGAGGCCTTTTCTGGAGAGCCCTGTACAGTTCATAGAATTCATACAATGTGGAAACAGGCCAAACAAGTCCATGCTGCCCTTCCAAAGAACATCCCACCCAGACCCATCCCCTATCCTTTCTCTGCAACCCTACATCCCATGGCTGATCCAGCTAACTTACAAACCCCTGGACACTATGAGCAATTTAGCATGGCCAATTCTCCCAAACTGCACATCTTTGGACTGTGGGTGGAAACTGAAGCCCCTGGCAGAAACCCACACAGACATGGGGAGAATGTG